AGGGTGTACACCTTGAGAGAAAGATCCAAGAAAAGACAAAGACAGTCCCCAAATTCTTCTTTTATTCTCTATTATATCAATTGGCTTCTTTATACAACACAGAAACACTAAAGCTTAGTTAAATAATGTGCTTGGATTTTAGAGGAGGAAAGCCAAATCCACCTCTAAATCCAGCATTGGTTTAATTGAATAGGGACTAGGAAATAAAGAGAAATAGAGTTTTTTGAGAGACAGCTATAAAGTTTACCGTATGGCACATTCCTTCTATTTGATGGTTATAGCTACCTTTTCTTCTTAAGTATCTACCCATGCAGTGTCCTTTGCCTTCTGAAGATGAGTTTTCCTGTGAAGATAAAAGCAAAACACTTCCCTTTCCTTTGGGGGGTTTCTATTTAGTTTATAAGATATACCTTAGTAGAATACCTGTCATTTGTCCTCGTTGAGAGGTTTTTGCCCATTTTCCAGATGAAGAACCAGCTATCCATCAACAGAGTAAATTTAAGGCTAGCCTGGGCTATATGAGACCTTGTCTTTAGACTGGAGGAATGGCTCAGGAGTTAAAAGCACCTGCTCTTGCAAAGAATCTGAGTTCAGTCCCCAGCATCTGCATCAGACAGCTCACAGCTATCTGTAACTTCGGCTCCTGGGGATCTGACGTCCTCTTCCGGACTCCATGGGCACCCACACACACCTGAACACCGACACATAATACATGCATGAAATTTTTAAAAATAAAAAGACATAATTGGGTCTGTGATGTCATTGTCATTCTAATACCACTAAACACGTGTGCCTACAACCATACCAGAATCTTCCCCCAAATGGCTTAAGGTTGTGCTCCAAGGACATGGGCATTATATGTTTTTTTGTGAAATACATCACAGTGTGACTGCCCAAGGTGTGGTTGACATCAGGGGTGAGGGGTGACCACCTTACAGAGCTGCATTACAGGATACCCAGGCTCCCAGAAATTCCCAAGAAACAATAGAGGCTTCAAATGCCACCACCACCCCCCAAGAAGCCCTTTCTGTTATTAAGTTTGGGCTCCTTTGAATTCTAAAAACAAAAAGCTGGAGAGATGGACCAGTGGATAACATACTTGCCAAGTAAGTATGAGGATCCAAGTTCAGATCCCCTGAACCCATGTAAGAAAAGAAAAGCAAGCCCAGGCAGTTCTGGCACACACCCAGAGGCAGGTGGATCTTTGTGAGTTCAAGGCCATCCTGGTCTACAGAGTGAGTTCTAGGACAGCCAGGGCTACACAGAGAAACCTTTTCTCAAAAAACAAAAAGGAAGGGAGGGTGGGAAGAAGGATGGATGGAAGGAAGGAAGGAAGGAAGGAAGGAAGGAAGGAAGGGGACTGGCAAGATGGCCCAGTGGGTAAGGGTGCCCATAACCAAACCTGACAACCTGAGTTCCATCCTCATGACCTACATGGTAGAAAGAGAAGACTGACTCCCACAGATGGCTCTCTAACCTCCACATGTGTGTGTGCCATTGCACACAGGAATTCATATATACATACATACATACCTTTGCACACAGGCATGCATATATACATACATACATAGACACACAATAATAATAACTATTTTAAAGGTGTGAGCAATTAAGAAAGACAC